CATAGGGCTGGCTCGGAAATAGGCTCAAACCCACTTGTGCAGAGTGCTTCATGGTCACTTGTGGCCAGCGCCGTCCAGGCTACTCCCACCTTACCTCCTGTGCTAGCCGGAACGCACAGTCAAACTCTTCTCCGCTGTTATTTCGACACCAGACTTTTATCCCAGTGTTAATAACCTGTGAGTGAAAAGCAAGATGAAGCACACACATAGGTCAATCAAGCTAAGCAATTTAAATCAGCCCTCCCCCAACAAGGAGGCAGGGCTGTAGGCAACTCCAACACAGGGCAGACAAAATAAATAACCTGGGGAGTCACAGGACTAACTCCAGTGGGAGGTTCTCAGGCCTGACCGCCACTCTCAGATGGCTCTGGACTATGTGACTTCCATTGACAATTACCACAGCAGAGACTAACCCAGGGCCACACACAGTCCCTGGACCGTCAGGGGCAAGGATGCTGTCACCTGGGAAAACCCACGTGGACACCCAGGAGAGGAGAGTAGGAAAGGCAAAAATAAGGTCTTAGTATTGTTACAAAAATGCTTCGGACCTCAGGGGCCTCAGCCCACATCTGGAGATCTTTGCACTGAACAAATGGGAAACAGTTCAGGATATCAATACAGCAAATGAAAACAGGACTGAAGAGTAGAGAAATTCTGAGGAAAATGGAAAGGACAAATAACTCCAAGGACCTGCCTGAGCAGCATGGGATCCCCACCCTGGGCGGCCCCCATGATACGAACAGCAGCGAGGCTGTGGAGCCGGAACGCTGTGGCCAAACACGAGGGACAGAGAGGCTGGCGGCCGCGCCTGCCCCATAGCTGAAACCATGCGGGCACATGCTCCTGCAAAGCACCCCCAGGCAGGAGGACACACGCCTGTCACCGCCATGCAGTGCACCTTCATCCTCTCACTGTTGTTCAGGAGCACGTTTCTCAGCTCCTTTGAGACCATGTACAGCTGCCTTTTCTTCCCTTCCGTAGTTCGAGTTAACAAATTCATCTTTGGGAATGAAGGATCCAAAGCATAAAATTTCCTATGAATGAGACAGAAGGTTTACAGGAGTTTAGTTCAAAATTTGACAGATGGTCTCTAAACAACTTCTCTCTCCCCACAACAGATTTTGGTTTCTAAGACTGTGGTGTGAGGGAACCCCCATCCTCTACACTTACCCTGCCTCACCCGAAACTGCCTGGCCATTTTATTTGAGGCACAACTAGATCCGAGACCTACGCTACCAGCAGCAACTTCTCTCCCTCAACTGCTCCTCCACCCCAATGACCAGACCTGAGAATGCCTGCACTGCTCAGACATGTGCAGGATTCTACCAATGTGTGCAAAGGACTGTTATCCACAAGGCAACCTAAGCAGCCACTCTGCTCCATGTACAGGAAGACGTAATGGGTAACAGACACACCCCAACTGTTGCCCTGAGCCCCTTGCCTCTCTGTTCTATCTGGAAATTCCCAATTAGGGCTCCCACCTCCCACCCAGATCCACTAGTCTTCATTTCCTAAACAGGAAGCCCCCACAGGCAGCTTTGGCCACTGATTTCAAAACTCAGCTGAGTAACTTACATTTGGACTCACAATCCAGAGTTTCTCCATCTCTCTAAATTCTCTCCCATTGGGCAAATTCATTTCTCTGATCACTGTCCACCTCAAACTGAACAGCGAGCACACACCCTCTAGAGTTCTAACCAGCTCTAACACGCAGCTAAAGAGGGAAGCAAGATGCTACCCAGAGCTGAATAATAACCTACGGTTAAGTGTGACCAGGTATGTGTCTGTAACTCCACAGGATATTTCTTTAAGAATTAGAAAAGGGTGAATTAATCCTTACTGGATAGGTGGAAATAACGGGTCATCTTCAGGAATAAACACAAAAGGATCTTCTTTAAATCCAAATAACTTCATCTTCTTAGAAGGAGGAGGACTAAGGAGGGAACCAGCTGAGTGATTAACCTGTAATCCGAGTAATAATGCTAAACACTGAAAGCACACTCTTCCCCTTGCACCCCACCCTCGTCCCCAGGTCTGTGCAACATGGAGCTTCCTACACAAGGCTCCACAGGAAGCGGGTGTTCAAGCTCTCCATGCACAGACCCTGCCAGGTCACAAGTGCTGAACTGCGCTGGCCAGCCCAGGTCTTGCCCTGCCCACTATAAGGCCACTGCCGAGTGGCTGCGGGAGTCCGCACACCTGAGAGGCGGGCAGACCCTAGAATGTTAGGGGCAGGACGTCCCCCTTCCTCTTACCCACATACGCCATCTTTCTTGTTTCCGTTATTCTCTTGATTTTCAGTTCTTTCAAGTACTTCTGTATCACTTACTCCAGGGACTGGGTTACTTTCCAGCTCGGAGCAGTTGGCAGCTGTCCCTCCCGGGGGGGCTGCAGCAGGGCTGGGCTGCACAGGCCCCCTCGGCTCCGCAGACAGCCCCTGCAGCTGCAAGGGGAAGCAAGTTCGTCGGCACTCAGACAGCAACCTTCAACAATATCCAGCTCACAAAATCATTCTTCACTGTTTTCCTACATCGTTTTAAGTATAAAAGATCCAATTTTTTTAAAGTATCTTAAATCTATCTGTTATAATTCATGGGCACCATTTAAGGTTAAAACTGATTCTACCTGAATCCTACAGAAAGTACGTGCAGACTGTTCCCCATCTTCAGTCAAAAATGCCCCTGTGCATCTGCTCTGTGAGGCGCAATGAGGGACACAAATGAGTCACACACTGGCCGTCAAACAGGAGGCAGGTCTGAAAAAACAAGGCCTTAAGTAACTAGCCCACGAGGGCAGGGAAAACCTGTGGGGCACCTGGGCAAACTGCCATGAGGTCCGAAGAAGGGGGTACCTCCGGGGACTAGGGGGACAGCTGCCGCGTACCAGATCAACTTCTACACTGGGGCAAAAGCTTCGATCTGTCTTTGAGAACAAGCAAAACACTTTAGTTAAAGTTCTCTTTACATTATTCTTTCTACAAAGTCTTACACAACAAATAATGCCACCTGTCCCTTCTAACAAGTCACAAGATGGGTACAAGCAGTGACTCTCAGTCCCCATGAAGTAGGGCACTTGAGCACAGGAAGCCAACCTGTTCCCCATACTCACAAAGTTTTCAGTGCACCAGCCGCTGAGTCTGAAGCTATGAAGGCTGTGCAAGCAATATGGCTTCCCAGAAAATACACCTTACTTAAACAGAAAAAAAGAACGAAAGCACTACCTAAATCCCCCTCCATTTCTAGCCCCACAACCACTTCTGCAACAGCTGCCTGCCTGTTCAGAGCCCATCTCAAGGAAGCTGCTCCAGCTCTGTCTCCATGATCTAAGCTTGCTTCCTGAAAAACGCCCACAGCGCTTTCTCAGAACAGCTCTCCCTGGCTTGAATTCGAGCTCCATGTTTATAGGCCTTATCACTTTAACTAGATGATGGCACCCTGAAGAGTAGGAGCCTATCTCGGTTATTGGTGCGGCCTGGTGCACCAAGCTGTGCTGGCTCAAAGACCAGGAGACCAAAACACATTTACTCGATGAAATGAATCAGGAACTGACATAACAGAAAAGGAGAGAAGTACTAATTGTTAAGTGAGCAAATGACACCAAGTTGTTCTAAAAAGACACCCTATCAGAGAGGCAGACTAATGGAAAAGTTCAAAACCCACTTACCAACATACAGTCATATAACAAAGACATCAGTACAGCCCCAAATGCAAGGAAACCTGATGTGCACCTGTGAGACGCTCTAACCTGTGCTCTGCAGCAGCCACCAGCCCAGCACAGGCGCCCGACACATGCAAGGCAGATGCATCCCAGGGTGTGACACTCACACTACTTCAAAAACTCAGTATGGAAGCATACAAAACATCTCATGAATAACTGACCTTATTACATGAAAATAACACTTGAAGTACATTGGGATAAATAAAACCTTAAAATGATTAGCACCTGGGGTTTTTTTGTTTACTTTTTTAAATGTAGCTGCAGAAAGCTAAGCAGTCCGTGAAGACTCCACTGGTTAGCACCGCTCTGAGCTCCACAGCTCTACTCCTGACCAGGGAAAAGGGACACCATGACGTAAAGAATGCCATGAAGACACTTCAGGCTCCATGTGGAACAAGCTCTTACACAAACACGTGCAGGTGTGTGTTTGAGCTGCACATTCACATGTTAATACAGCTGCCGCATCTCAAGAACTGCTTTCTTGTTTCTCCAAAGTCTAAGCATTACATGTCCTGACTTTCAAGCATGGCTATGAAAGAAGTACAAACTGGAGACCGATTGGAAGCCATGCTCTAAGACTAAGGGAGGCTGACATACGAAGTCACACCTGGTACCTGCGGACAGCACACGCTACACAGCAACACCACGTCCAGGCTCAGAAGGCTGCTCTTCTGCAGCCTCTGTGCTCCACCTTCTCCCTTACTATGACCGGGAGACGGCTGAGACGCATCACCACAGGACAGGCCCTATTTCCTTTTCAGCCAGGCCTGGACAGAGTCCGTCATTATCCCTCATGGCCAAGGTGAAGATGGGCTGACGTGAGGTTAGCAGAGCTCTGTCCATCTGCAATGGCCTGAACTGAACCACCCCAGGGAATCACAGCACAAAAGCTAGCCTGGGGCTCTGATTCTATGCCACAGAAAAGTCTTTATGGCTTTTCACTTTCTACCAAAGAACTGGACTTAAGATGTAGAAGGAATGCATTCTCCAAACCGCCGTTTCCACTCACATATACTTTTAAGAAATTGCTTCTTTTTGGAAAACTCAAATATTTAAGGAAATCCACAAACACACACTCAGGCTCAACCCTTCTCCACCCCCAAAAACCATCCCACTGACCCCTGTCAGCTTCTGCCTTAACTGCAGTAAAGATCACATAGTAACCCACACTACTTGTAGACATTTACCTTTGGTGGACGTTTATTCCATGGCATTGAGGACTTTTTCACTAACACTGCCACAAAGAAACCTCCAGTATTCTGATGATGTGGTAATATTCTAAGACTAACAACAAAACAAAAGAAAAAACACAATTCACACTTTATAACTGATCCAAAATACATTCTTTTAGTATTAAGACAAACATCATAAAGATGATCTATGACAGAAAAATCAAGTCTTGTTGTAAATATCCACACAAACCTCACTTGTAGAATAGCCAACATGTGGGAACAGTTAACATAGGATCCAAAGTATTAGCACAGAGGTTCTAACCATGTTCATTATTTACAGATACTCCATCCACACCAACAGCTAAGGGACACCAAGAACTCATTTGCTGTAATGGCCACATATGAAAGCCAGCCTCCCCAGTGTCCCAAAATGCTGAGCCCCACAAACCCACCAGCGCTCCAGGTGCATGGCCTCTAACTCTCCCAGGTCCTTTGGTGGGAACATGGTGGGCCGGATCTGCGCATGTCTGCTGTGTGGAACATCATCCCACTCTGCAAACCACTGCCCATCTTTCGTCATGACCTACAAAACAAGGGGGATTCTGAATCACCAGCACTACCCAGCAAGAACTACAGGCTGCTAGTATAAATGCTATCTAACCCGATAAATGGCAACTCCCATTTCCCTCCAAAGTCAGGAAGACTATTTGCAAAGATAAAAATGAAATCATCTTCTATTCCATAAAATAGGACAATCATTTTATAAAAGAGCATTTTTTTGTGTGGGTGTTTTTTTTTTTAAACAAGTCTAGATATTTCTGGTTTAAAACTGAAAAATAAATTGTTTCATATTGGAAACAAAGCTTGAATCCCAGCCAATAAAAGAAAGAAAGCAAAGCTATACCAATGGGGTCCAAAATAAACAAAGCTGATTTCTAATTGCGTGAAAACCAGGAAAACTTTTCCATTGCCAGAGAAAAACATCTGTATGATAACACTACTTGTCAATAATTTTGAAATTAATTCTACACTGCAGAACCAAGCTTAGTATTTACTTGTTACCCAAACATAGATGCTTTAAAACGTTCATGACTATGACAAGCCTGGGAGTCACACCGACCCTTCAGAGCCAGCGTCCTCACAGCAGGATTACCTTCCAGTGCGAGATCCCTGGCATCCATTTTAACCCCGGCAGCTCAGAAGACACGTCAGCCAGCTCCAGAGCACCTGTGCACCGACACACAACAAACTTTTTTTTCACATTATGCCCAGGGAAAGACACTGGGGGCAGAACATCGCATACCTCATGGTTCTATTTATAGGAAGCGTCCGGGCAGGGCAAATCCACACAGAAAGCAGGTGAGTGGTTCCCGGGGCGGCAGTGGAAGGATGGGTGGAGCAAACGGGCAGGAGCACTTGTCTGGGGTGGCAGGAATGGTCTAAGACTGGACTGTAGTCAGGATTGCACAGCCATTTAGTGCATTTACTAAAGCTCACCGAGCTGTACACTCAAGACGGGTGAATGGTACACCATGTAAACTGCAGCACAATAAAGCTGGTGAAATAAGGAGAACTGGAGAGTCCACAATGCGTCTAAGACTCACTCCTTGCAGAACGCGGCCTGGAATGCAGCACGGGGCTAGGTCTCAGAGCGCTCACCCACCCACTCCTGATTTCTAGATACACACCAATTATGATTTTTCTTTGGCCATGACTTTATGTCCTGCATGGCTTCATGTCCAACAACATCCCAGAACCAAAAAGCAACATTTCAGGTGAACTGCGACATTTTTAAACACTCAGTTTTAGATCCATTAGTTTTCTAAAACTAACAGGACAACAGTCCAGTTTTAAAAACACTGTGTCCACAGTAGCAGTATTAAAGAAGCCATAGATGGGCCCATTACAGAAAACCTGTCAAATGAACGACACAGACATCAGTGTAGATGTGAGCCTCACAGAGAAGAAAAGCCAAAAAGACCCATGGAAGCTATGGTCAACAGAGATAAAAACAAAGCAGAAGCCCCAAGGCAGAGGTCTGGGCAAAAAATCCTTTGACAGGCATCACTCTGACTTCCACTTTTATAGCTGAACATTCTTACTTTTAAAAGAGGACACTAAATAACAGCACTGGTTTACAGAACCTGGTTTTCTCAATCAAGCACCGGGGCTCAGCAATGACTTCCAGCCAGCATTGGCAAAGCAGATGTTTATCGGCCACCCTTCATCCAGCTAAGCCTAGTACTGTAGGTGGGACACAGCCTATGCGGCCCAAATGCCCAGCACCTGCCCGTAGGTGGCTCACAAGGGTCTGGTTCACCACCAAGGCTGCGCCTAACACAACGCCGGACAAAGAGTGGAGCTGAAGAGTCCACAACGTGGTCTGACACAACCACATGCAAAAAACCACATGTCACATGGCTGTGTCAGCAAACCTAGATGGAAACCTACCTGCCCAGTAAGAATGTAATTACAGGACAGACACCACAGCTAAGTTTCCTAGGAAACGGCATCACACACAGTCCCTTCTCACCAGCCTTCTGAAATAAAACACTACCAAAATTTTGGATGGTCTTAGATCCAAAAAACACTCAGAAACCAGTCTTTACCAGGCCAGCGTTAAGACAGCAAAGCAGAAATAAGTGCATATTAGATTCAGGCCTAAAGGAACCCAAAGGTGTGAACGAGGGCTGACCACAGAGCACAGGCAGTCCACCACTGCCCAGGAAGTGTCACTGGGGGCCGAGAGATAGCGGGGGGTCCTGCCTTAGGAAATGCATGTGTGTTTCAGTACTTATGCTTCAACTTCATACACACACATGCAGGAAATCCCGTAGCATTTTATTCTGGAGACACAGTATGAAATTTCTCATTACTTTCTTTAAGAAGAATATAATGGTAAAGGTAACATTTCAGTGAAAACATAAAAGGAGAAATATTTTACATCAAAACATTATGGCAACTGTTATTTCAGAACATTTCAGACAATCTATCCAATCCCTCAGAACAAAACAAGGTGGTAAGACCTCACACCCACTATGGCCACTATCAAAAACCCAGAAAGCAACAACTACAGGTAGATGTGGAAAACTGGAGACCCCGTGCACGGCTGGTGGGAATGCAGACTGGACCAGGCTTTGGAAGACAGTACGAGTGAACACACAGTCACCACACCAGCAGGCGATCCCCCATGTGGGCGTGCACCTGAAGAACTGAGAACAGTCAGGGAGCCACCTGTCCAGCTGTGGTCATGTAGGCAGTTACTGCGGCAGCGTAAGCGAGGAGGCAACCAAGTGTCTGCCGATGGATGAACAGGTGAGCAAAACATGGTCTACACACACAATGGGGTATTTTAAGCCCTGAAAAGGAAGGGAATTCTGACACTGCACCAATACAGGTGAACCTTCAGGACAGCATGCTGAGTGAAAGGAGGCAGTCACAGACACACACAGGGTGGTTCTGCTCCGAGGAGGTAACTGGAGTGAGTAGTCAAACTCAGAGACCGGACATACGATGGTGGGGAGGGGAGAGGGGGCCCAGAATTTCAGTGTCCTAAGATAAGAAGCTCTGGACTGGCTATATAACACTGTGAATCTACTTAATATTATTCAACTATTTAAAAATAGTTAAAGTGCAAAATTTTAAGTTAGATATCTCAATCACAACTGATATTTTTTTAAAACCAGTGAGATAAGGATCTGACAATCTTTCAAACTTATGAGAAAATGGGCAAACCTCATAATTTATGAAATACAAGAAATCCATTTTTAATGTGTTATTAGGGATTTCTCATTTCAGGGTTTATAGGCTAATCACATAAGCAAATGTCCACAAAAAAGTCTACAAGAATACTATAGAAACGTAGTTTTTGCAAAGTACACACTCTTAAAAGACCTGTCATGCATGTGTACCTTCACTTTTTTCCAGTAAGGATGCTATGACAGCTTCATCTTCAATGGGGTTGAGTGAACACGTTGAGTACACCATCCTGCCGCCTTCTACCAGCTGCTCCGCGCCTCGCGTTGCGATCCGCAGCTGCAAGCTAAGGCCGGACGGCAGGTTACCCCAAGACTGAACACAGCAGACAGCACACCCCTTATAGCACATATTTGTTATACGTTTATAACAAACTTATGATAAAACACAAAATATGCTAGGTAAAATGAACAATTCCCATAAAAAAAAAAAAACTGTAAGGTTCTGAATGAAGAGTAAACCTGTATTACATAAGGAGTTTCATGTTAATGAAAAAAGTACCTATTTACATAAATAATGTTTTTACTATTCTGTTAACCTTTCCCAAGATGACAACAAGCAAATCATAAAGCTGATTAATAACTGAATATATTAGGTGAATTTAATTATTAAAAAGCCTCCATATTTATATAAGTATTTTACTTTTCTTTCTGTGAACATTTCTGTAACCCTTAGGACATTCTAATCATAATGACTTTCACACAAAAAATAAGCATTTAGCAGAGAAAACAAAATCTGATAGCTATTTACAAGGAAAACTCATTTGTACACCTTACAACATCCACTGTAATACATGTAAGACTGTATCATTTTAATATTAAACAAAACAAGACTACAAAGTTCTGTAGACAGTACAAACTGTTCAAAGTAGGTATGTTAAAAATGCCTAGCAAAGAAAAATACTCTAACACACTAGACATTACAAAAATTATCTTTGAGTTTTGAGATTTTCTTTTTCCTTTTAAAGATTTTTCATGTTTTCTTTAAAGACAATCAAAATACATTTCTAAGACATCAAAATGTTAAGCAAAGTAATTCAAAACAAAAGAACAGAAAACTGATTAGTAATTAAATGGTCATTTCATGGAAAATATGTTTGAAATGCTGAATAAAATTGTTATAAGTCATTTTTAATAAATATGTACCTGAAATGTACACAATCTTCAGTTTACTACTCCTAAAAGGTTTTAAAAGTAATTGCTTCTGATATATAAGTAACCCCTCTTAAAGGTAGCCATTAACACTCTGATGCTTACAGTCAGTCAATTAAAGATCTGGATGTCAGTTAACTGATTCAATAATAAATCTTTACTGATCTATCTGCTAAACAGTGCTACTAAAGTTTTACTTACCCATGCAGCTGCAAGCTATTTAAGGTGGTCCACTTTTTCCAAACATCAATGTTTTTTCTCATAGTACCATCTCCACTGGAAAGAAAGATACTTAAGAACTGAAAGGTACATAGAGATCAACAAATACATCACAATCAAGCTAAGATACAAAACAGGTACTATTATTATAAATACCAATTAGAAAACCACCTTAATTCTTACCAGCTACAATCAACTATCTATTTCAGTTTTTAGGACACATTTAAACTTTGAAATAATACTTCAATTTTCAATTCAATAAATATAACTGATTTGAAAATGAAACCTCATCAACTTAGATAGCAATTTACTTCCATTAGTGAGAAATAGTAAGAAAAATTTTCAGACCCAGGACACACAACCATGAACAAATGTAGGACATTTTCATCCTGCTTCTTAGGAACTTAAAAGTGGCATTTTAATCAGAATTACATGAATAATGGTAAACTTACACTCACACAGGATTTTCCACAGCAAATTCAATTAAGCCAATTTAATTTCTTTATGATTTTTCTATGTATCACATTTATCTACTTTAACTTAATGGAAATTATTTTCATGAAACTTTTATAATACAGTCTCAATCAATCAATCTTTCTGTCGATATCTAACTTTATGTACCCATTTTGTCCGGGCAGTTACTGCATCTGCTGGCCTTCCTTGTAAAATTTCATTTTCCCTGGGGTCATGTCTTGAGGTGAAGGGACTGCAGGATGGAAATGTCCTGAGAGAATGGCTTTCAAACGACACTCCTCACTTGTGTATGGTGGCTTAAAACCCTAGCACACTTTTAGGAATTTCCTCAACTTACATGCAACCCAGTGCTTGTAAGGCTACTTCATTCTCACAACGTGACACCCAGAATGGGTTATGGTTGTGATCAAAAGAACACAGGGGTGGGAGAACATCTGATCCAAAGGAAAATTAGAAAATTACAATTTGGACAAAAAGGCATGTAGTTCATGACCCATTTTAAATATTACTTTAAGGGGTATTCTTTCAGGTATTTGAAAGCTCAGTCACATGCAGGAGTGGCAGTTACAATTTCAAACTGAGTTTGGCCACCAGCAGTCAATCTGCTACTTGTTTGATGTATAAATACCGTATCCAGTGCTAATAAAGTTTTGTGGCAGTTTTTGTACTTTAGTCTCAACAAAGTCATGTGTTCAGAAGGTAACAAACACTTCGATCATCACCTATGTCACTTCCACTAAGAACTTAAAAACACTTTTAGTTTTATTCTTTTCCTCTTGGAAAAACTCATGTTATGTACTTACACCATGAAATTCTTTCATAGGAAAACTCTAAAACTCTAAAATTTACATGTAAAATTTGAAGAAGGTGTATGCACAAATATAAAATGAGTTTCTCAAATGTTTGAGTTTCTAAATTTCATTGTGCTAAATGTAAGACCACAGAAGTCCAATGAGATCAAACTTTCATCTGTAACAAAGTATCTTACACACATGCCAGACACTATGGATATAAATATTCGGGATGAGCAAACCACTCCAAGCAATAATATCCTGGAACGACCCACAATGCGAGCTTATGATGCTATTTCCTTCCAGGTATTTTCTTCATACCTCTTTGTAAGACAATATATAAAACCCTCCCTTCCCATATCTGTTCTGCCCATCAGCTGTGCTGCTTATCACCGAAATTCAGAGTGTCCATTTCCGATTGAGGCTTACAATGTCTGTCTTCATGAACTGCCACAAGAACAGTATATACAATTATGTATGTTCATGCGCAAGTTCATTTTAGTCTTTGATTTGATTTCTTTAATGGATTTTGGGCTTTCTAGCCTCTTAATATAAATACCTGCAAGGGACATCACATAAAATGCGATCATAGAAGAGAATCTCTTTCCTTCCATTCACATCTATTTGGAGCCTAGGTATGCTGGATGCATCATGGTTGACCACCATGATACAAGGGCTGCTCAACCTTTTGGCCTGGTGAACGAGCAGGTAGCAACGTTTGTTGTCCACGTCATTCGCAATGACAAATCCCTCTGCGAACAAAAACTGGAGTGTCAGGGGAAATGGTGCACAAGCAGAATAACCTCCTGAAATATGTAACCTCTAGGCTGGCGAGTGAGGTAGCACTCCACCAAAGTCAAGAACCGAGCTTAAGGTTTGCCAGAAACATGTGAGGGATTCAAATAGGAACCAGATGGCTCAGCGTGGGTTTTGTTTTATTTTATTTAAAACCTTAAGATTCATTTGTCCACTTTTTAAAAAATTTATTTATTTTATTTATTTTATTCAAAACCTTAAGATTCACTTGTCCACTTTTCATTTTGTCCCAATTATTGTGCCAAAAATATCTTTCCTATCATTAATAACATTGAAAGAGAAGATGAGAATAGAACACAAGTTTGTAAAACAACAGAATCACCTGACAAATGTCTGAAACCCTGCACGTGAGCTGGGACTCTGTTCTAGACTCTGAGCCAGACCCCTGGGCACCTGACGCTGAGTATCCCTGGGAGACTGACTGCACCCCTGGCTAAGAACCACTGTGGCCCCTGGGCCGCCTCTCCTAACTGCTTCCTCTCACCTCCAGCAGAAGGGCAAAAATGCTGCCTTTCAAATAGGCAGCAAGTGACCAAAAGAGAGGAAACAAAACAATGTGAAAGTATTCCTATGGAAATTCAAACTGAGATCGTCCTACTATGGCTTAAGACAGAAACACCATTTGCTTGTCAAGTCACTCCCCAATCACAAATGTATGAATGTGTTGATGTGATAACTGGTGACAGTGGTGTGCAAAATGTTCAGTCCCACTTTCAGAGAGAAAACCCATCTGCTTGTCACAGGCGGCTTCCAGACCCAGTCAGCAGGCAATAGCACAGACCACCCCCACCATGACCCACCAAGCAGCATTCCTACCCTCTAAAAATATGGTTCAATGCGCACCTGGAAAAGGGACATTCATGTCAGCATGCAGCATTTCAATCAACTGTGTGGTCTTTGACCCAGGTGCTGCACACATATCTAGGATCTAACAAAAAGCAAGAAAATGCTTGAGTTTTTTTTAAGAAATCAAACATTCTACATTTAACTAAAAATAATTTTGAGTTTTTCTAGTATGCTGATTCCTATCTGAGGCCTAGACTATAATATATTTAACTTACAGGGACCTTATAAAAATACAATGCCCCTTAATCACAGAATGGTAATTCCCTTCACAGGGGATGGGAACAGAATGGCAGCAGAAACCAGTGAAAGCAATAACTCTTGGGATGAACTAGTAAACATACTTAGTGCATGACAATCATAACATCCTGCTAAGGGAAAAGGCTGCATGGGCTCAAACCTCAGCTTAGCCACTTATCAGTTCCATAATCTTGAGCTAGTTGATTTCCACTTTTCTTTGCCTCTTTTTCCTCATCTGGAAAAATGGGGACACTGGCAGTATCTAACCTCACAGGGAAATGTGGATAACAAAATGAGTTAATTCACAAAAAGAGCACAGAACAATGCTTGGCATATAACAAGCTACCAATACATGTTCATTATGATTTTCAATCTGACACAGTCTATCAAGACCACTGAATATAGTCAGTGTAGTAAATTAATAAACTTTAAAAGAGAAGAAAATAGTTATGAGTTGTAAAATTTAAATAGGGCAGAATGAAAAAGACAATCAAAACTAAAATACGTATCATTATCGGAAGTGAAAAGGGGAAAAAAAACTAGATTAGTTACATTAAAATAAAGGTCTCAACAAAGAGGCACAAACACTGAGAGCAGCCTGCCCACCACGACTTCCTACTTCATGGGGACGGGGGACACAGTGCCCGTGACGGGGATGCACTGACTTAGGGCGGGCGTGTGCGTTCAGCCCTACCTACCGCGACCACCTGCTTTATACGCAGTACCTTGTGATGGGGGTGTGCATTCAGTAACAGTGGTGGAATCATGCTAACAGCTTCTTGTCGACTGATATTTCCCTGAGGAAATAAAAAAATTTTTTAAATCAACAATATTTAAAAAGGCAGAAAATTTCAACATTGGACTTTATTTCCAATGCAACAAAAGTAGACCATATAGTCATCATACATACGAGAGCACAACCACAGGACAAGTTTTTACACCAGTGGATAAACAGTTGGTCTCTAAAGACTAAGTAAGAATGACCATCAATCGCACACTTACTGTTAGAATATTAGAAATGCAGGTACAATACCACATTTTACAAAACAAAGGAGATTTTATGCACACAGTCCCAGCTCCTCATCTTAACAAAATATGAAGTTAGATGAGCATTTCTCAAAGGCAGACAATGGTACTGCAATCCTTTCAGCAACAGGGAGCAAACAACAGGAGCACAGGACGGAAAGTCACCGTCAGAAGCTTTCCAGCCAGCTAGCCTGCCAATTCCACTTCCTAGCCCTCCTCTGCACTTAGGAGCAGCCCAAGTCTGCTTTTTCTTCCTGGGACTGCCTCTGAAACAAGAGGAAGACATAGCCACTGCTCCTATCTTTCATTCTCTACAGTAAATACTCAAATTCTTAAGCCAACCATCCTCTAGACCTTTGTTAGGGGGGTCAGGGCAGCTGTTAAATATATGACTGTTCATATTCAAATAAATTCCCTCAATGGAGTCCAGAACTTGCCTCAATCTCAATTCCATTTTAATAGCCTTGGAACTGAATGCTCTAAAACAACAGTAGTATTTTTAAAACCTATAGAACATCGGCTACCTGGAGACTTCTGCTCCATTACAATCTGGGTTTTTATACTTGATCAGCCATCCCAGCAGCCAACAGCTCGCCATATCCTTATGCATCTGACTCCCAGAAACTAAGCACAGACTAACATTCACACCTGGTAATTTTCATCTTGTGGGTTTCTGGCCAGCAATGACTCTGTGAAGACTATTCACCTCTTGATTTAATCACCAGGCACACAGATTCCAAGCCTGTGCTTACACCTATAATCTGATAAAACTTCCTTTCTGTTTTCATTTGTTTTCAATTAAAGGATCAATGTTGGACGAAGACATTTTGAGTCACTAGAGCTGTTAGTCACTAGATTCATAAACTTGCTTGGAAGAGGTTTTGCAACCAGCTTTAAATAACCCAGAGTATCACATCCTGCTGACTCCCATCAAACACCAGGACCACCTCCCTTCCATATACACTACCTATACTGAAGTCCCATCTCATCTGCCTTTCAAAGCCACCAAAGCCAGGTGTCTCACTGCCTGCCCAAATGCGTATCATTCCACTCCCCACTAATCCCTGCTCTGTTCAAGTTCAAGCCTCAGTTGTTGTCTTGGTTTGCTGACCTTCCGTCCAGACTCAAAGCTGGCCAGAGAATCCCTTCTTGTACTGGCCCAAGCACAGAACAGGGCAGTGGCAGTGCTCCATTCTGTTCACTCCTTACTACTGGGGCAGGGAGGCAGAAAGCCAGGCAAACATGAGTCCAGTTTGCCTAAGCGGACAGAAAGCCATTAAGGGCAGGAACAGCTGTGGTCAAGCAGCGGGGAGAAGTGGGTGAGGGCAGGGTTTCTAAATCGGTTCAGCTTCAAGGAAAGAACCATGGGACGCATGGTGATCCTGTTAAGTGGGTGCAGAAACTCAGAATGAAAAGGAAGTGAGCACCACCTGGTGACACACAGAGGCAGCTTGGCTAAAAAATGTAATTAGAACACAGGAAGGGGGAACTTCTGATTTTAAATATGCGACTATTAACAACTCCCAAAGAATAAGAATGAAACAGCAAAGCTTACAATATTCTAACTTTCTTCTTCTAGTTGAAACTCAGTAAAATTTATCTAATTGAAAACACCGCTTTTTATGTGGTAATATTGAAGTGTTAAATATAATAAAAGACTCTTAGGATAAGCAATCATAGTGAAGGCTAGAGCTTTCTGTGAAGATTGAATAAAATATAAAGAGCTGTTCAGAGTAATAGTAGTGGAAGAGAAAGATGAGAATGAGGCAAGTGGAAAACTTCCTGTCCAGCCATCTGTGGCAGGGTTTGGCAGACTTTCTGGGAAGGTAGTGTTTCTGGCTTTGTGGGCCACAGGCTCTCAGGCACAGCTACTCAACTCTGACGAGGGCACACAAACACAGCCAGAGAACATGTGTACCAGCCAGACATGGCTGCCTACCAGAACTTTATTTCTAAAAAGAGCAGGATGGAACTAGCCCCTGGGCCAGTTTCTGACCCTGGTCTATGGGACAGTCTGTGAAATTATAGGTGAGCAAGATGAGTGCCTGGCCCTCTGTGGATAAGGTGAACGAAGGTTCCTGTGGCCAGGATTCTCACCCGGCCCTGGGTGGCTGGCTCACTACACATGTGTGGGCAATATGTTGTGTTACTGACTCTATATAAACAGCTCTGCCCAGTGTTCTGGGGCTGCGGGGACACAGAGACGCAGAGGCAGAGACCGGCTTGCTGCATGCAGACTTGCTCTGAGGTGGACAGGATTCTAGTGATTGACCTGCCACTGTGAGAATAAAGTTGGGTCTAAACCCTCTTACACCAAGAATGTTCCATTGGCATTTTTCAGACTCACTGAATAATGAACTCACCTGGAGCTGAAACCCACTAGTGACACAGTCATGTTCACATGTTTTTTTGTATGTGTTTTCATGGCAAACATGAAGTACAGATAAGAGCAAGGAAAAATAGAAACAACAAGAAATAGGTTTAAAAGCTCCACTTCTAAGAAAACGAGTAACATGACCATGAAAACTCTCACTCTTCCTGTGTACCAGGCCCCTGGCACAAGCACCTGAGAAGGGAGTGCCAGTAGGCTGAGCAGCTGTCGCCCTACAGAGCAACATGCTGGGCCTGCCCGGTCCCGGTGGCCACCCAAACCTAGGAGTAGCCAGAAAACAGTAAACCAAACTGACAACCCTGACTGACGCCCTCCCTAAACCTCATGAGCAATGAGCCAAGCAAGGTAACAGTTATATAACTAATTGGCAACCAACGGTGACTCTACACTTACATGTGTCTTCTCCATGGGCCTTATCCACCTAACTGCTCCCAGTAATAAGCATGATCAAAGTGAAACTATGGCACTAACGAGCATTTAAAGTTTTATGAAAACCAACAAATGTTATCTACTCACAGATTCAGTTTCGCTAACCAGAAACTGGTGAAACTTTTCCAACTGTGGAGACTTTCGCAAGATTTTTCGACTTAAATTGGTGTGCCAGGCAAGTTCTTCTGGATACCTGACCAGAGAGAAGTAAGATATTTGTGGATTACATATATTAAAGTGCTCTCTTAACAACTTCTTCCTTATATGGTCAATGAATGAGACACCCTATTCTATTAACTCCATGAACCTCTCAGGCACAATCAGCCAGCCCCACATGTTGCACTGGACAGGAGCATGGTTCTAACTGGGTCACAGCCCTACATAACAAAAAGCCTTGGAAATTACTAATGCATTATTTAACCTCCTAGATCTTCACACAGACCTAAGGATGGAGTATCTTCTGCCATTTCTGTGAAACTAAACTTTCTATAAATGATGACATCACTGATCGGGAAATGTATGTCTTTTTAAACTTGGCTTGTACCTGTCCACCATGGCTCAACTGCAGAGTCAGCACACTCACTCAGTTATGTAACACAGAGCCACCCTCGATTAACCCAGTGGCATGGTAAGCGTGACGCAGTGCCCAGTGGTGAATCTTACTGCAGTTTTAGCACTTTCTAGTCTTAGATATAATAATGAGCTCAATTTAACAATGCCAGGTCACAGTGTTTCCATGTGTCCAACTGTAGTTAAGGTGACAACTATGAAAATGTAACTGGAACACATGGAAAACATGTTTGATGGCTTTGAAACAGTGAGTCATTATTTGACAGAAACAAACTCAGGCCTTAGGATTTTAAGACGCTGCTCAACTATCATGGTATTATGAAATACTCTGAAAAGTACTCTACCGAATAATGAAGATTACAATTACATTTACAGCCACCCTCCAACTGCTGATGCTGTTCTATTTCCTATGATTTGTTCCCTCTTCAATACTTAGCCTGTTCCAAATATATAAAATGGAAATACAATCATACGTATCAGACAATCAAAAAAAATGTTTAGCTTTAAATACTCCCTTTGGCCTCACTAGAGGTGAAATGAAAGGGAAACTCAATCCTGGCTCCACTGTAGTGTTCTGCAAAATCTGCTGTCCCACTAAATCTGTGCAAGTCCAACAGCTGCACAGCTACTTTCACACAATTTCTGGCAACCCTAACTATCTGTGGTGAGCGACAGGGTGGCCGTGCGAGTTGCCACTGTGCCAAACCACCAAAGCATCATTCATGTGAATGCCCACACCTCTACTCATCACAGTTTAATTTTCACTCTCAAATACAAATAGCAATCTAGATACTTGAGTGAGTATTTCCTTACTTGTCTTACGGGTTGCAAATCCACTAGTCAGAATGCAAATGTACCACTACAAGATTAAAATTCTAGTGTAAACAATTACGATTATGAAAGCTATTAATCTTAAAAATGATTCCGAATGTTCAGATAAACAAAAATTGATTAATGGTTAAAATGAATTTTAAAAGTTTCTCATATAGCTTTAGGAATAACTCTCTTGTACCAACAAATGTTTATTAAAACCTTTGTAGATTTTAACATCAAACAAAACAATCTGAAAGAACGGTATTTAATTTTCAGTTATGTAATTCAGAGGTAGCTCGTGAGGTCCTATTTGGAAACTTGCCATGTTTTCTGAAGATAAGAGTGCCACTGTCATCTTCACACCTCAAAAATTTCTTAAGGAAAAAAATCTATGTAAAAATACACATTTATGATAAATCATCCTTAATCCATACTTTAAAAAAGAACATAAACAGAATGACAAGGTGTGTTCTCAACAATTGTCAAAACAAGGCTATTATATGAATTCTTTGGGATAATTCCTTACAGTTTTAAGAATACAAAAAGTAAGGAAAAAAATGAAATCTGCCAAGCTATGAGTCCTATATTTAACTTTCCTTCTAGAAAAGTTACCAAAAACATTTTCCTAAATTTTATTCCACTATGTACCAAAAAGTAACAAAACATAAATGCTCTATTTCTGCATTCTGAACAATATAGAAAACCTCCAGCAATCTTGGTAATTTCTGCTTTACTTTCTTGCTGAGAGCCTTTTTTAATGGGCATCCTACACATGACAAGTGAATTTGATTGCATAAATGTTTGTACAAGAAACTGTCACACAACTGTCACTGACAATGGAAAAAGCTCAGTTACTAGGAACCCAAATCATACAGTACGTTGCTCACACCCTTCAGTCGTGTTTTGAGAAAATTAAGGCAAACAATATGAAGAGAATGACTGACTGGCACTGAAGAGATTGCACTTTAATTTTTCAACCACAATTGACAGGGCCATTCTCAGAGGCTTGGGAATTGGCTTGTCATATACCCATAGCCAGTGTTCAACAACCAAGATGGAAAAGCAGCTGTTAAATGCTAACGGGGCTATACAAACAAAGATCAGCTGTAGTTTACAAAGTACAGTACAAATGGCAGGGTGAATTCTCTTATTTGCTGTAAACTGTTGAAGAAAATTCCCACAAGGACATGACCAGAGAGACACCTCTTTACCACAGGATGCTTGCTTTTCAGTTCCTCCTACTGAACCAGATGAAAAGGCTGGGAGCAACTTCATCTGAAAAGCCACACTTCTTGGCACAAGGTGTAAAGAACAAATGTTTTCACCTTGTGTGAGGCAGCCAACACAGGCAAGACTATCAGAAAAAGAAATGCGGGCAAAGGCAACCGTAAAAGTGTTTTTGAAAATAACCAAGCCCCTGCCTCAAGCAGTTCTGATCTGACAAAACAAGGGTTTTAAAAGGAAACAGGAGGAGCGATAACATCAAATAAGAAAAGGAAGCTGGATGGACTTGGAAAAATTAACAACAGACTCAAGTACAGAGAACTGCAAATTATCTACCAAAGCCTGCATACCAATGTAAAGTAATACTGATAAGAAGCACTGGATCAAAGAATGTGAAGCTATGTGAAGAAGTATCTTCAGGTTCCTTCATAATAAAAGCAAATGCATTAGCCATAAATACATTCAAATGGCAAAGATTAAAAATCCCACAGAAATATCCAAAAGGAGAAAGCCCTGTGATACCTACCAACTCAGGGGTTGTGGAACTTCGACTTTCTGACCATCCACCTCCAGGTCCTCCAATTCCTTGAAATACTTGTTCTTTAAGCAATGGAGAATCTCTTTTGCGTGGCTATTTAAAAATAAGCAAATTTCAAACTGATCTGAGAAGGTAATTTAACACTTTATCTTTTGGTAAACCTAAGGTTACAAGTGTTTCAAAACTAAAACCATCTTTGCACGGAGAGAAAACATTCTTTTCCTATTCCTTTAAGTTTAAGCAGTCCTCACTGTTTAGTCTCTTAAGGGAGATAGGTTAAATGCATTACTGCACCCCTTCCCTCATTATTCCTACAGTTCCACTTTTACTTGCGACTCATCTTGGAAAACCAACTACAAAGACTTAAAAGGAGAGGGCACCAGACTTTTTTTTATGCAAATTCGGTCATGTCACCAATTTTCGTGTGTTCCAAAGGGTAGTCATCCTCAGCCCACGAGTTTCCAGGAGTCCGCCCTTTCAGACTGCACTTACTTATCCTGGCACCCCAAACTTGCAATCCCTCCTTGACCTACCCCACTAGCGCCCCTGTCCTCCCCCCTCGATGTATCCCACTCCTCAAATCCACACCGCTGACACGTAGCGGTTCTCGAGCACTGTTAACACTGTCAGGGAAACACCCTCGGCTTTTACCCTCCGCATCCCAATCCCAACTCGCCAGGAAATAAAAGACACAGCTCCCCTACCTTTTGTAGCCAGTAATTCTCAAGGTGGCCGGGAGGGGCTCCCTGAGCGCTTCCATGAACTGGTCCCACTCGCCCTCGGGCACGATCTTGAGCTCCTGGTAGTAGTGCTCGAACAGCTTGTTCTCCTTGACGATCTCCGGGTACCCGCCTTCCCAGCCCTAAGAAACGACAGATGCGTCTACACGGGGCCGCAGAGCCGCCCCGCGCTCCCGCAGCGAGGGCGCGAGACGCCATGTGGAGTCCCGGCCGCCCTCGCCCCGGTTCCTACCGCCTCACTGCGCTTCCCGCCGCCGTCGGCGCCGTCCTCCGCGCCCTCCGGCCGCGGCCCCCTCTGGGTCCGCCGGGCCCGCGACCGCCGCCCCATGGCCCACGCGGCCGCCCACAGCGCCCGCCCACAGCGCCCCGCCACCGCCGCCCCGCTTCCGGGCTGCCGCCGAGGTCCCCGGGCCCGGCCCGCGCCTCTCCCGGGCCTGCAGGGACGTTCAAGAAATAAGCTCAAAGCGCCGCGACCCGTGCTCCCGGAAGGCAACGAGCGAAGGGAACCGCTGACAGCCCGGAGTGGGGAAGTGGCTCCAGAGGGCACCCCGCTGGGTCTCCGCGCCGACCGCCCGAGCAGCGTCAGGCAGCGCCGCGGGCAGCCCGAGGGCGCGCGTGCGCACAGCAGGGGGCGGAGCTGTCCCGCCCGCGCCCGCGACTCGTCCACCCGGCCGACGCCGTGCGCCTGCGCCTGCGCCTGCCGGTCGCCCAGGCTACGCCGCCTGCCCCGCGAGTCCTCGGCCCGCGTCCGCATCCGGTAACCGTGCCTCCCGCCCCCTCAGCGGCGCCTTATATGTCGCCCACGGCCGCCGCTGGGTCATGGAGCGCGCACGCCGGGCCCGGCGATGGAGCTGCCAGAGCGGCTGCTGCTAGACAGACTGGCCTACCTGGAGTGCGTCCTGGGCGTCCTGGCCTTCCTGGTGCTCAGGCTGGCTGGCCCGCCCTACGGGCGCCACGTGTCGCCGCGCTCCGCGTTCCTGCTGCCGGCGCGGGTCGCCTGGGCTGTGCAGGAGCTACCCTCGCTGGTGGTGCCTCTCGTCGTGTGCTGCTGCGCGGAGGCCGAGCGCCTCCACAGCTGGCCCAACCGCATCCTGCTGGCTATGTTCCTCGTCCACTACACGCAACGGTAACGGCTGGCTGCCCTACCCGCAGGCCGGGTCCCGTCTCCCTGCACCCGCCCGTTTCCGCAGGCGGGATTACGTCTCCCTGCGCCCGAGGCCGGTGCCCCCTTCCTGCGCCCACCTGCACACGCAGGCCGGGTCCCATTTCCCCGCGCCCCCTCCCGGCGCCCCGAAACCGGGTTCGGTCCTTCGGTATAGTTAAAAGGTATATTCAGTGCAACTTGAGAGAGTTGGGCTCGCTTATTTTTTGGTCGTGGGCAGTTATTTGACCTCCTTGACTCTGGGTCCCACCTTATAAAACCCCCTTAGAGAAGTACGAAGAAATAAACATACATGTTTCTGCAAGGCTCTCTCCACTATGGTTTTCGGGGCAGGAGTCCCTGGTGCACTCTGTCCCCATCTTCCTTTATGCAGACACTTTAAATGGGCAGAATCAACATTCAACAAAGGTTTTTTTGAGTCTTGCGTTCCTGACACTCCAAGATTATTCCAGCAAGCAAATTTGTCAAGACTGCTGGTTTCTGTAACATGACTGAGCACGAGTGTAATTTGAGTATAAATAGAACTCTCATGTCTGTATATACCTTTCCATAAAATACTCCAGAACCTGTCTGTTTCTCCAATGGCTAAAAGCAGGCGCTGTACTCAGACTGTCCGGTGTCAGCCCAATCCCATCACTAGGGACCTGAGATAAATTAGTAAGCTGCTCTGCAGCAGGTTTCCCGCCCCTGAAATGCACACAGTGATGGGACCAGCCTGGGAAATTGGCGTACATGTTAAATAAAGCCATCTCCATAAAATGCACAGTGCTGGCAAGTCTTGAGTGCCCAATAAACAGTAATAGCATTGTCTATTAAATGACTATATCCATATACATAATGGGAGTGTTATTCATGCACACTGCTGCTAACTTCCAGGGCCAGTAAAAAACTTCCAAATGTGTGGCATTGGAAATGGGTAAAGGGAGCACTTTACAGAGCTTTGTGTGAAGCCTGAGTCAAAGCTTTTTAATTTAAGTAACGTTAAATTGTGTCCAGGCTCACTGTAGTGGAAGGCTGAAGGCAGCCTCCCACAGGGCCAAAGTCCGTCCTAGAGTGATAGAACTTGAATAGGTCATTTCATACAGATGATGCCACAGAGACACAGAATTCAGGTGTTTTCCCCAATGCTGTTGGAAGAGAGAAGCTGGAACTTAAAACCCCACGTTCTAAGGCCAGTGGCTTTAAAAACTGCTCCAAAGGATTTGCAGGTGCTGTTTTTTAAACTGCTGAGCAATTTTGTTTTTCAAGTTGTGCTTGTTACTGTACTCTGTGTGCTTTGGGGGCATTTACATTTTCCAAGTAGAAAAAAACATTTTCCAGTCTCACCAAGCAACTAATTTATTAAACGGTCACTTGACCTAAGTCGGTGAGCACTTGGACACCAGAAGCACAGACTATAGCACTTGCTATAAATGCCTGGCTGGACCAGCAGACGTTTATGCGGCCTCTCATTTGTACCAGGCACTGCAGATCACAATAGCACTGAGCAGGAAAGGAGTCTGCTTGAAAGGAAGGCTAAATGCAGCTGGTGGCAAGAGAAACAAACCCTGGCACCTACTTGGGAGATACAAGGCAGAGGAAGTAGCAATTTAAAGAACTCAGCAGATGTCTGCAGAGGCCAATGCTAGCCTTTGGAATTGAGCAAGAATGAGGTAGGACCCTGTCCTAGGGTAGTTTCAGCCTCTTGAGAGATGGGTGAAGACCAAAGCTAGATGGAGGGGCTGCCCACGGTCAGTGAGGAGTGTTTGCTCAACGCAGAGAAGAAACCTGTGGGTTTTTATGTATTCACACATTTACTGAGAATTGATTCATTTACTGGCACTGTGCTCCGTATTGGGAATATAGAAATAAGATACTCCCTTAAGGAGTCAAGGAACACAAGATGAATTGTGAAGAATCTACTGAATCTTTTTGACAGAAGATCCAGGGAGGGAAAGGAAGGCCTGCCTGGAAGGGGAAGAGGAAACACTTTGGGAAAGAACATGCCAAGGCCCTCACCAGTTCCCCAGTGGACAGCAGAGGACATTTGCAGGAACGTTGTTAACCCACGACAGACAATCCATGGCCCTTGACAGTTACAGTGTCTGCCTGCATCCTGTCTGCACTGAGGCTTCCTCCTGCTGATGTCAGGGCTCCCAGTTCTGGAGGACTCCAGTAGCATTCTTCCCACCCTGCCATTTGCCTTTGGTTGCTATGCATGGAGCCACGTCTGATGTCCTACCTGCTAACTTGTGTGTGTGCTACAAATTGTCAGTGGTTTCCTGTTGTCACTGTCAGCTCAGAGCTGCTCTGCTGTTGTCCAGGTCCCTGGTACAACTCCCTAAGCTGCTGTCTGACCTCATATCCTGCTGTTGTCTGTCCTGCCAAGCAGGTTTTTTTTAGTATTAACCTGAATCCAGGTGGCCTTTCCTCATGGATTTTCCCATCTAGTTCAACAGTGAGTTGAGTGAGTCTGGACTGTTTCAGGATCCTTTCACTCATGGAACAATAGTTACAAAGCCCAACTTGAGGGCACAGCCCTGTCTGTCACTAGGGCCATGCCCACCTTCACCTGGAGACCAGAGAGGGACTTCCTGAATGGCCTCACGGGGGTGGACTTGCCAACGCCCAGAGACAACCTCTTCCTAAAGTCCGCCCAAGGGGCTGTGCTCAGCCACGCCTGAGACCTTGCAGGATCTTGGTTCTGTCTGTGCTGATAGCAGTGCCTCAAGGCAAGGGCTCCTACCCCACAAGTTTCCGCATTCACTGTTCTCCTGCTGGATTCTAGTGTCCTGTGATGTGGAGCCTGGCCCCAGCCTCATTTGTAAATAAGTCATAGCGTGTGTCATATTAAAACAGCAGGGAACTAGAGCGGGAAGGACACACTGAATCTTTAGCCCTTGAGTTGCAAGTTCAGATAATATGAAAAAAGAACAAAGTTGATGGAAAAGTATAGAATGACAGAAAGTAAAAGTGGAAGCCAGGCAAGTGCTTATCTGAGTTCATGGCTTTACTGGCATCTGCACTTTAGACTTAATTGTAAAAGAGCCTTTGCATAAGGAAAGACAAGAAAAGGAAAGTGCTGCAAATCTCAGTGATAACAGATTGTTGAGAAAGAAGTAGTGATGTCATTAAAACTGACAACTGCTCTCAATTTTAGACATTTAAAAATTACCAAATCTGCTGTTACCTAAATTACTGCTAAATCACCAAGTCAGATGTTTCATTGTTGTTCCGAGAGATAATGTCTAATTGCTTTTATTTTGCTGAATGAAAGGGCTATTTCTGATTGCAAGAAAACTGTGGTGTTACCATTCAGTTTGTTGCGAAAACATTTCGGGAGATGGTTCTTGTGCTTTGCCATGTGGATTAAGCAGGCGTGGAACTTGTACCTGGGATTCCAGAACTCGAAATCTGACTTTAAATGTTAAAAGGCTGGTCACTCCAAGGGGTTGCCCTCTGAAAGGGTTGCTTCCCCCATGTCTCCCCGTTGAGCAGATCACCTCTAGCAGGTGGGCACGATGGTGCGGGTAAAATTGTAATATTTCCGGAATATCTCGCCTGGCTTTAGTATATCTGCATATCAGTAGGCATTCGGAGGTGGAGAGAAGTATGGCTTTAGTGCATTTGCATCATTCCTCAGGGGTGGAGAGAAGTTCATCTCCATATTAATAGGTAATTACCTGGACAGGGAGGGCTGATCTGTACCTTAGAGGTGAGGGGAGGGCCAGTTTTTCTTCTGCTGGAGCAGGAAACAGAGACGGCCTGGGACTACAAGTTTATAAGCAATAAACGGGTTTTAAACTTTATTTCTCCCTTTGACTGATTCGGTTTTTAGAGGTATTTTGCCCTGAGATTTCCTCTCCCCGAACTTAATCTGACGCAGTCGGTGGGTGCGACTTTTGGGAGGGCCGCCCCTAGACATAATGGGGAGAAGTGGCGCTCATGCTGAGGGACACAAGCTCCTTGTAGCTCCCTGGCACGTGACTGTTGTATATCCTTCAGCTCATTATCAGAGCAGGAAATGGATTCATAATATATAACCTAAAGAAAGTATTTTTAAGTCCAGGCACTTCCTAGTTCCTCTTAGAGATGATTTCCACTTGAGAGATTTTCAACCTCTGACTTAATACCTTTTCTCAAAGAGGAACATTCATCCCCACAGGTTCTCTGTGCAAGGGTGTTATGCATGTGAGGAGACAGCCCGTGGGAAAAGGTTCCTGAATACCCAGGCCTTGGAGACTGAGGCGGCCTGGACCCAGGGGACTGGGTCCTGCTGGGTGCTGCGTAGGCCACCAGAGGTGGCCACCTTCCTGCCAGCTGAGCCTGGCCCCCTGGCCCCATGGGAGCCTTTGCCATGGCAAACTGCCTGGAGTCCTCCATCCTGGGGCTTGGGCTGCCCTGGTCCTCCTAGGTGTAGATGAAGGTTCCACTTAGAGCCCTGCCCAAACCTCCCCCATGGGCCCATTCTGGTTCCTAACTGCCCCGAGGCAAAGAGAAACCTTTCTGACAAGGGCTACATGGATTTGTAAGGAAAACTAGTAAAGCTGCCGGGAATGACACGGAAGGAGGGAGCAGCATTCCCCTCTGTAAGGTGTCCAGCTTGCTGGCCCCTGGGCTGGTGTCCACTCCCAAGGGCTTGGTGCACATGGGGGTTCAGCCTCTGCGGAAGGCGAGGGTTGGGGATGACCATCTAATCTCCCCTCTGGACATCCTAAAATGTAAGCAGCATTGCCCAAGCCAACTTGTTCTTCTAATCTCAGTGGCTTTATGACCAGGCCTGTGACCATCAGGGTCACTGCTGTCCACTTCGAGAGCAGAGATCAAAGAGCAACAGCAGACCTGCATCAGCCTGCGTAAGTCCCTGTTCCCAGTCCTTGCCACCTTTCTGATGCTCCTACGAGACCAAAGGAAAATATGTCCAGGTCGGTTAGGAATACTTCCCAGGCTCCCCAATGGCATACACAGCACAAGTCAGTGTAAGC